GACTGACAATTTGCAACACTGCTTTATTAACAAAAAAAAAAAAAAAAAAAATCACTCGGAAGGTGTGTGTAACTGAGAGGCAAATATGAAAAAAAAGAGATGACAGAAACAAGTGTAACACAAATTATTACTATAGAAACTTCCCGCTCATCTCTATTCTCATTTCAAATCATATGTGCTCTACCTTCCTCCCACGCTCCTTTTCAATCAGATCTGCTGAAGTGAGAACACTGCTTCTACTGAGCTTGACATTTGCAATCCTTCTTTGAAGCAGCCAAAAAGCCACCTATAAACACAGCCCCGTTGACCTTATCAGTCACTATGGCACAGGACCGGTAAATAAAAGTTTCTGGAGTCTGAGTCTGTCAAGTCCCAGAAGCCCAATGCTCCTTCATTTCACTGCATGCTCTGAGGTAATTTGTAACTGTGTTTTAGTACAGCTGGTATGGAGCTCCAAACACACCTCTGCACACCAATCAATCCCAAGGTCTCCCCGGCTTGCCGGCAGCTGTCGCCCTGAGGAGCCTCTGTCAGAAGTGGTGTCAAGGAAGGGAGAGAGCAGGTGCCCACGGGGCCTGAGGGACTCACAGCACCCTCATACAGACTGATACATTAACACCAATTCCTTGAAGCGTTTGTTTGATTGCTCCAACTATCCAACAGTTCTATTCCAAAAAAACCTTTAGAACATAAATCATAACCCAATCCAAGCAATGCACGCTCTTCCCTAGCTACTGTGGAACACTACCCAAGGAAATGTCATGATCCTTTCACCTGCACTGTAAGGCCAAACTGCAGATGTTCCCAGGGAGAAATTTCCATGGAGCACATGTCCAGTCACAGCTCCAACCACACAGACACCACAGCTTTGCACACCATTTAAGTAACTGCAATTAGATGACAGAAAAAAAGTGCACTGATCTATTTGAGGCTCTTTACAATCTATTTCCTGGGCAAGTAACACTGAACATAATAAACTTTTCCAAAGAATTGAGTCAGGGAATAGATACACTTGATCCTTGTTCAGAATCGACCAGCTTTCATCAGCAGAACTTCCACTGCTTGAAGGCAGCAATAACCCCAGCTTGTAGCTCCAGACTACAAGACCAAGGTAAAATTATTGATTCAGGCCCTCTGTATTTCCAGGAGGAAAATCAGAGGAATACAAACAAACTAAATTTTAGTTTTCAGCTACACAGGTTTAATTTAGGATTAGTCAGTAAATGTTAAGCCAAAGTAAAACGTACTTGATGTCATTTACTGTAAGAGCACCCACACTGAGTAATGCAAAGAAGTCTGCAGAATGAATGACAGAACAGGAGAGTTATTTACTGGTTTTTACTATAAAAGAGCTTCAGCTGGATCAAATGAAATTACCAGGCATCAAGTTCCAAAAACTCAGCAAAAAGAGGTATTTTTCCCAACATGGGCTCCAATTACTTTGCAGAATTCACTATCCAAAGACACTGTGGATAGAGGAAGTTTACCCAAACTCAACTACTAAAAAAAAGAGAGAGAAAAAATGCAAATAGTGAAATTATTTTAACTCAAAAAGAATTGAACTCTGACTTTGGATCCAAAAGAATAACCAAGCAAAACACAACCATTTGTATCAATCAATTTTTATGCTCCTTCCTGGGCATCTGCTACTGACCACTGCTGAAGGCAGGTCATGGACTAAATGCATCTGTGATCTGACTTAAAAATGCTGTTCCTATGCTCATGGTATCTTGTTTATGAATCACAATTTACTTCCACAAAAGCAAAACCAAAAGTAATGACTAAAATACAAAATCTATGGGTTTGTCAAAATGAGTAAGACTGCCTCAGAACAGTGAAGTCCAAGACGTCCCGAGTTCTGTGAATTCAAAGGCCAATACACAAGGACATCCCAGAAACCCAAAAATCAAACCAAAACAAAAGCACTCCTTCAAAGCAAAGTTGTACCCAGAAGTCTGTCTGTTTTTGCAGCTGTATCAGTTACATCTGTCTGGAATCCTGCCTCTCCAAAAGCTGTACACAACAGCTTTGTGTGCTCTGCCCAACACAAAAGGTATTTTTCCAGCCAAGTAGCTCAAAAGCAAATATTGATGTTATGATTTACCTAGCAATATATCCAATCAATGTTTTCACTGAAGGCAGGGGAAATTCCACAGGCAGCAAGTGTAAGCAGTTAAACACCACTAACTTTAGGAACTGCAGAGGGACAGTCTGTGCACCTCAAAGGCAGTTGTAGAAATATTAATTTCTTGCTTTGATCTGGGTGTCTCTGCAACCTCTTTCATCCCACGTGTGCCATGACATTGACAGGAGAGCTCCTTGCTGGACACACTCAAAAATGGCTCTTTTCTCCCCACCCCCACTTGCTTCATCTCACAAGACGACAGCTGGTTTGTACATACACAAGTAGGGATGGGAGTCTGTCAAGAACTGCAAAAACAAAAACACACTTCCCACTGCTATTACCTCCTGCTTGGTAACTTCAACATTTGAATTGCCAGAGAGGCTTCCAGGGAGGCATTAAAAATAGAAACCAGAACACTTCTCTTAAGGCACAGTAATTCCATGTTTCATGACATTTCTATCTGCAGAAAAAAGATGCCTTTACTACAGGTAAGTGTATACTCTAACATTAATAATTTAATTTCCCCAGATGTTTAAAATGTGTGTTTTGCAGGAGACTACCAAGGCGTATTTCTGGTTTTTCCTTCCAAAAACAAGGAGTTCAGTGCCATTATTAATGCAGTCAAATTTAAACATTGTGCTGAAACAAAAAAAGGCAAAGGACACTGAAACTACATACAGTTACTACTGACAAGCAAGTAAGACATTTCAAGTCTGTAAGAGTATTGCACTTGGCACCTTTGTAAGTCACAGACTTACAAAGACTTCATCAGACAAAACAGAGATGGACCCCCCATTCTTGGTTTCCAGGATCACTTAAAAACAAACAGAAGGAACAGGCCACCCTGAATTTTTGAAACTTCACCTGCCATTAAAATTTCCAATGATTGTGTAGTCACAGGCAAAGTATATTTATTACTGGCAACAGAGTAGGATTAAAGAACAACAAAAATAGATCTGGTGATTACTTGAGCTGGAGGCTGGCAATCATCAATCTTGAGCTCACACCAAAACTACTTTCTTTCCCATCACACTTCAACCGTTAATTAATGTTTACATTATACTGAAGTAAATTTGACTTAAAATCCAGGAGACCAACTTCAGTGTGACCAATTAAATCTACAACAAACTTCAAGAACAGGACTACAAACAATATTAGTCACCAGCAAGCCACAGTAAAGACTTCCTAAAAGGAGACAGGACCTTGAACTTGCCTGAAGACTACTGTTCAAACAAAAAAGCTTTGCAAATAACGAAACTACTATTTCCCCATTCCATCCCAGTCAGACTTGTGCTTTTGAAACAGGTTTATTTTTAATAATGAAGTAGCAGTTGCTCTTAATGACCAGTGTAACTCTGGGGCTGTACTCTCCCTGCTCCCCAAGGTGATGCTCACCCCCTGCAGCCAGGGACACCTTTTATTTACTGGCCTACACCTCCAGCTTGTGCCCAGGAGACAGCCACTGCCAGCAGCTCTGGGAACTGCGGGCTGTGTGTGCACAGCCCAAGGAATGCTGTCACCTCCGAGCAAATGCCAGCTCCTGCACCACCACCCACAGCCCCGCTGAAGAAACTTTAACTACACACAACTTTTCATCACTGTTCAATAAAAAAGTGAGACAAAAATTCCTTCTGAATCTTCTCTCCACTTGAAAAGTGACACTGATGGAAAGAACTGGAATAACTTCCAAATCAGTGGACAGCATGAAGAAGTACTTCTTTTTTCCTCAGGTCTTAAGCATTTAAAAGAATGTTACTGACTCAATTACTCCAACTAATTCTGGACTGTTTGAAATCAACACAGATCATGCAATTGTGCTTACAAATAGTATATTATACCACAGTGCTTACAAAGAAAAAAAGTATTTGATCTACACTTCATAAACGTGTTAGATTAAAATACAGATTAACCACATGCCAGATAATTATTAATATTAAAAGCAGAAAGCAAAAATAGAACTGACAGTTAAAGGTCAAACAAGTCCTCCGACTATATTCAGGACTACACACTGGCACTGTTAAAGCTCTTCAGAATGAGCATTTCCTAGAAAGCAGCAAGGTAAGACAATTTGATTTTCACAGAGAAACCAGGTGACAAAACTAACATTAGGCCGACAGAGCAGAAAATACACACCATCAACGCCCTAAGCACAGTTTAAAAGCTCATAGGGCATTAAGGCTGTGTCACTGATGGCATGTGCTTTATAAAGGTACAGCACTCGTAACGTTTGAGGTATTTCTTAGTCAAGGCAGCTAAAATACACTAAACCAAAACACTTTCACTTTTCCTACATGTGACTGCTCAGAGCACAGATCTTATTTACAGTTCAACACAGCCTTAAATGTCGGGGGCAGGCCTCACGTATTGCCCTAGAAAATCATTTTGCACAGACAGTTAATGTTTGGTAATGGCAAAGGAATGTATTACCGTTTAAAACCTCTTAATACATTTGTTGTCACGTAACGAAAACATTTGAAAACGCTCAGGCCAGCAGAAGCATTTCACGTGGATGATTCAGTTTAGCCATAAAAATAAACGTTGAAATCAGGCAAAGCAGCAGAAACTCCCACCAAAACCAGAACAGCCCCCCGGTTCTGCCAAAGCACCGAGGGGGCTGCAGGACTCGCCCAGCGCCGGCGCTCAGCGCAGGCAGCCCGGAGCGGGGCAGACCCGCCCGGCCGGTGCCGCTGACAGCCGCGAGCGGCACGCGGGGTGCACCCGCTGCTGCTCGGGGGAAGGACGCGGCGGAGGGCACGGCGGCGGTGCCGGGCGGTGCCGGCGGCGGCGCGGGCAGGACGCGGCCGCTCTCGCCTGTCACACGCCATGTGCACCCGCGGCCTCCGGCGGCCCCGCGGCGCCGGCCCCGCGTACTCACACTCGCGGCAGCTGCAGCGGCGGCGCCCCGCGCCGCTGGAACACGCCGTCCACGAACACGCCGTTCTTGCCCAGGCAGCGCAGGTAGAAGTCGCCCCCCGCTCCGCCCGCCGGGTCCCCCTGCGGCGGGGGCGGCGGCCCGTCCGCGCCGGCCGGCGGCGGCGGGGGCGCGGCGGTGAAGATCTCGAGGTGGCGGCGGGAGATGAAGCTGGAGTGGCCCATGCTCACGTCCACCGAGCCCTGCGACGAGTTGCGGCCGATGGTCACCGAGCGCTTCTTCATGAGGTACTCGAACTCCCGGCCCTCGAGCCGCGCCACGGCCGCCGCCGCCGCCGCCGCCATCTTAGCGAGGGACGAGCGAGGCGCGGCCCCGCCCGCACCGGCCCCGCGCCGGCCCCGCACACAGCAGGGAACGGGGCCGCGCACCCGGCCCTGACGCAGCCACGCGCTGATTGACAGCGCGCGGGGCCAATGCGCGGCCCGCACGCCCATGGGGCTACGGCGGCGCGGCCAATGGCGAGCGGCGCCGGCCCCGCACGTCCGAGTGTCGGCGCACGAGCGCAGGGGCGCGGCCCGGAAAACGCGGCGCGGAGCGGCGCGCGGGGAGCGGGGCGGAGCTGCCCCGGCAGCACCTCCCGCCCGCCGGCTGTGAGGGGAGGAGAAGGGCGGAGGGGAGGGACGGAGCCGGCTCCGGGACCGCCGCACCTGCCGGCCGTGGCTCCCCGCACCCCCTTCCCTCCCTCTCGGGGAGCCGGGCTCCGCACCTGCCGTCCGCCAGCAGCGCCCTCAGGAACGGCACCGGGAGCGGGGGGAGAGGGGGAAGAATCGAGAACGGAATAAATACAAGTAGACGAATAGTGCTAGAGGGTGAGCAAGAACCACCAGGAGAGGGCCGGGTAACTGCTCAAATTCAGCCTCAAAATACCGCATTATTAAGAAATAATAAAAATAAAACTGTAAGTTTGACCTGACAGCCTCGCGGGGGTCACGTTAAGCACAAAGGTAACTCCGCCTTGCCAGAGTTTGTAACATCCATGGCAACTCAGCGGAGTGTTTGCAGTGCCCGGGGCGGGGCAGGCCGTGCCCGCGTGCCCGTCTGTCCGTGTGTCCGCGTGTCCCTGTGCCCGTGTGCCCGCGTGCCCGTCTGTCCGTGTGTCCGCGTGTCCGTGTGTCCCCGTGCCCGTGTGCCCGCGTGCCCGTGTGTCCGTGTGCCCGCGTGTCTGTGTGCCCGCGTGTCCGCGTGCCCGTGTGCCCGTGTGTCCGCGTGCCCGTGTGTCCGCGTGCCCGTCTGTCCGTGTGCCCGCGTGTCCGTGTGCCCGCGTGTCCGTGTGTCCCTGTGCCCGCGTGCCCGCGCACACAGCTCGGCCCAGAGCTGCTCCGAGGGCACGGCCAGCAGCAACAGACGCTGAGTGAGAACCCAAGCGTGCGTTTGGCTTCAGAACGGCACCGGCTACCAAAGAAACGTGGCATTAATGCTACACAGCCCAACACATACAGCATCTGAACGAAAATATTACACCTGATCCAAACACTCATTGTTACAGGGACCAGGCACTGTCAAAACCGAAAAGTAAACAGCTGAACACGCTTGGCTATAAACTGCGAAGAGGGTGCTAAAATGTATTCGTGCTTATTTACCAACATATGCACCACAAACGTGTCACCGTAACAGCTCCACAACCTCGCCGTGGTTTGTTGAGGAAAGGCTTGTGTTGTTTGGGTTTTTTACAGTACTGAAGCTTGCCATTACTTATTAATTAAAATAACTGCCCAGAGAATCTGTGGCTGCCCAGTCCCCAGATGTGTTCAAGGGCAGGCTGGATGAGGCTTGGAGCAGCCTGGTCTGGTGGAAGGTGTTTCTGCCCATGGCAGGGGGATGAACTTTAGGTCCCTTCCAACCCAAAGCATTCTGTGAATTCAGAAGACATTAGACATTTTTACACTTCAGCCAAAAACCAGCCAGCCTGCTAACAAACATCCAGCAGTAAAGCTGAAATTGAAACTTTTGGGTTTGCACATTTGAGTCACCAGGTCTTCAACTGTAGAACTATTTTGTGAATGCTTCCTAACAGACTATGATACCTGCTACCTGCAAAGTTAGTTTTACCCTTAGGATTGTATCAGCACTTCTTATAGGCAGCTACAACTTCATTCCATCCTGGTTTAGTCCATTTACACAACCTCATATGCACAGCAGATGCAGTAAAATATAGCAACAGTTTAGAGCTTTGGTTTCTTTTACAGAAAACTTTAGTTAAATCTTGCCCACACTTTGGTATTTAGAATCAGACTTTCTTCTATACCAACATATGTTTGGCACAGAAAATGTGGAGCATCAGAGAGGCAGTTATGACTCCCTGATTCTCAGCTTGTTTTTATCCCTTGGCTCTGCTGGCAGCAGAAATGTTGTGCCTGCTTTGCTAACAATGGCTTTGGGATCCTGAGGGCCCTGCTGGCTGGAATTACCCATGGACTGCCATCTCCTAACACACCCCACGCCTGCAGAATGGGAGAGCAGCCAGGTGAATTTCCATCAGGCCAGCAGCACTTTTCACCAGCCTGATGGTTGCTCAGTTTGCAGAACTCAAAGCACTGCTGCTACTTCACCATTTTCTGTTATGTGAATCACAGCTTTCTCAGTTTGTATCAATTCATTAATAACAAGCAGTACTGAATTCACAAAGCTGGTACAAATCCTGTCCTGTTCACAGAGAACAACACAGAACACTGACACGGAAGGCTGAATTTTTGCGATCTGTCTGCACTGCAATTTCTTCCCAAGGGTCCCCCCATCACCAAGCTGCTCTGTGGAAAGGAGCTGAACTGCAGTAGGGCTGTTTGCTTCTGCATGAGCAAACAGCAGACCCCACTGTCAGGAGCTCCAATCCTCGTTTCAGGAGGAGGGCTGAGATCTTTCTGTCTGTGTTTTCCTAAACCAGAGCAGATTTAGTCACTTTGTGATCACACAGCACAGGCACAGGTCACCCCGACCTGCCCAAGTGCAGGCCTGCTCTGTGCTGCACAGCAGCTACACGTGTCAGCAGCTGACACTGACAGAACCTTCTCTCTGTTCTGGGTGTCTGGGTTCCCCAGAAATCCACCCACGGAACAAAACCTGGCCCTGATGTCAGAGCTGCACTGCAGGCACATCCTCTTTCACACTTTTTCCCCCTGCCAGCTGACTGAAAGCAAAAGGTCTTTTTCTCTGTCTGCCTTAAATCCACCTTAACTATTCAGGACAGAATGAAGCTACTGACCAAAATTCAATCATCCCAACAAACTTCTGCAATGGCCACTGGCACTAAACAAGCTCTCAAAGCACTTCTTACATTTTTCTGCTTCATGCCAAGTAACCCAATGTTATCCAGTCCCCATCATATTATGCAGCAGCATCTGACTGCATCACAGAAATGAAGCACCTGTATCATCTAATCTCAAAACAATCTGGCCTGAGGTTAATAGAAATGTGTAAGTACCATCTAAGAGCTAATCCACTAATACTGTTTTATGTGCCCAACCTGCCTTTAAATGACTAAACATTTTTAGACTTTTCCATTGTTCCTGGAAGCTCCTGCTGTAGCAACACAAGGGCATTCATTCACTGCTTGTGCTGGGGCTAGCACTGCCACAGAATGAAGTTTTCTTTATTATTACATGTGCCCTGTACTGAGGGCTATGAATGAGTGCAGCAGCTTCTCAAGATGCACATTTTCACAGATCCCAAGCACAGAGTACTACTAGAGGAATATGATGAATAATCAAGTAGATTAAGTGACCTTAATTGCTTACTTTGACACAACCAGCAATTAAACAGCTTTTAAAAGCTATCAGGAGCTATCCATAATCTTTTTATTACAGCAAGTGTCCCAGGCTTCCAGAGAGATTTGATTTTTAGTAAACAAAGTCCTACAAAGTTAATTGTCAGAAGCACTTCAGTAACATTCATGTGTGATATAACAAAATGAGCCTTTCAAATACCAGACCCTGTGCAACTGAATGAAGAAACATTTCCCATATTAACATCCCTGCACCTGACAAGCACATTTTTTCCTTTCCCAAGGTGAAAAGCCTCTTCTAAGCAGTAACAGCTTCCTCCAACAGAACCTCAAACCCACGGCCACATTTTTGAGTAATCCCAATAACTATCCTAGAGCTCTTCACATGCTTAAATTTCACAAAGTGTGTAAAATTTAGCAGGACTCGTGCTGTGATTTAGTAATTTTCTCACAAATGCACTTTGGTCAAGGGGAAGTGTTAAAAAAGCACTGTGTAATTGCTGCAAAATATTGAAAACAGCAAATGCCTGGGATGGTGGGAAGCTGTCCAGACACACCCAGCCAGTTTCTGAAGTGACTTTAATAATAACAGGAGAAAATAAACTGCTATACCACAAATGTTAGCATTTTTTCCTTTATGGATGACTTTCACACCTCTTTAAGTAATAAAGCTGTAAAGTGCAATACTCTTAAAAAACCTAATCCAGAAGAACACATTTTTTGTAGGAGGAACAGGGAGGAGGGCAAACCTGAGCTGCCACTTGTTAACGTGCTGCTGACCTGGGAGAGAAGGGAAATGAGCACTGCACAAGGCAAAGCCACCCAGCAGCTCCTTTGTGGAAATGCTTTACTCCCCTTTGCATTAACCACAGGCTGCCTGCTTCCTAACACAGCCAAAGAACCAGTCAGCACTTCTTACAAGTGCAAGGCAGAAAGCTTCTGGCTCAGCAATCACTCACTGACACAGAGGAATTGCTCCTCTCCAGGTGGGGAAGCCATCCAAAAGCTATGAAAAATAATCAGGCTAATTAATTCTTATCTGCAAAGAGCAATTAGATAACTGACCTCAAGGAGTCTGAGGAGGTGAGCAGTCGACTCAGCCACGCTGGAACTCCGTAGTGACCAAAAGGATAAAGGCACAGCCCCAAATCCTCCACGTGTTGTGAGACAATGAAAACTCAAATGCCTTGGACAGAGAGCATCCGTTCCACTCTCCCAGGTAATCACTCAGGAAGGAACTCTACACTGCAACACCACAAAAGGATTTTTAGAAATTGCAGTAGCAGCATCTGTTAACTGGAAATGCAAACCCCCCTTGCTTTGCAATCCAGCCTTGCATGACCCAGACCTTTGCCAAAGAAATAGTTAATTGTTCTTCAGGCTTCTATTTTGTGTTTAAAATTGGACCTAATGATTCAAAAGCACTGAAGTTTTGTTACCCACTTCTAAGCAAGAGTTCCACACAATGAAGTCCTGAAGCATAATCAGGACCAGGTCTCATCAGGGCAGCACTCACTGGACTGAATGCTGATCATTAGTAACTGCTATCAGTTATGAGCCACAATTCTACTGCAAGAATTTTCTCCAAGTTCTTTTGCCTTTTCTGCAATGGAATGTTCATCCTATCCCTTTGCTGGATCAAGAAATGGACAGCAACTCTGTTGGAATTAAAATGTGAATTAACTACATGAAACATAACCAAAGGTAAATCAAAACCAGTACCAAGTGTAAACTAACAAGAATCAATAAGAAAAACATGCTTTAAAATATTCTCTTTATGACAGAGCCTTCTAATGGAAATTTGTCATTTCAGGGTGAGAGAAATGAAGCCTTTATCAAAATCAGTTTGGTTTGGGTTGGTTTTAAAATCAATGCCTTTTTCTCAGCCAACAGAAAGCCAAAAAAAACTAACAGTGAAGAGTAAAGACATATTTTTCTTTATGTCTGTCTTTGAAATATTTCTTACTGTGTCCAACAAGAAAAGTGCAGAACAAAGCAAACTTCAGAAGAGTTACTGAGATACTGAGGTATGAAAAACTATTACACAAAGGTTAAGAAATTGTAATTGTTTTCACTGGAGACAAATGATATTGAAATCATGTAATAAGGCAAAAGCACTGAGAGAAAAGCCTCATGTTCCATAAACAGATATTGTAAGAAGCCCATAAAGAAACTGGCTGAATTCAAAGCACACAAAGAAAGATCCTACAAGGAATATGATGACAGCAGCAGTGCTTCTCACATCCATATAAAGTATTTAGCATTGGTATTTTTAATGTGTAGCCAAAGCCTGAACAACTTAAAATAGGACATTTTCCATCCCTGTTAGGAATCCTCCAACACAAGAACCAACCTCTGTTCTCTGTTTATACCAAAATCTACCAAGAACCAGTCTTGCACAGCTGCATTTTTAACACTGACATAAGATGGAGCTGCTTGAGAATGTCCTTCCTGAAGACAAAACAAGATACTGAAGTACATTCAGTCTCAGGTTTGGCACAAAGATTTTCTCATTTTCCTAATAAATCTCAAAATGTTCAGAATGGTTGTCATATTTAATTGCTTTTTCTATGAAACTTCCTTAAGTTTACACCTAATCTTTAAAGCATAAAGAATTTAAAGTTTTGATAAAAGAGAGAGAGAGAAAGTCACACTACTGACTTCTTTCTGGGAGGGGAACACTTGAACAACAAATAGCTGTTTAGGATGATTTAGGAAAAAAACCCAAACAAATGTTGTGGTGCACAGATTCTGTTTGAGTCCTGTGCAAATCACAAGGTGTTCAAGCAGCCTCCAGAAGGGTGAGGGGAGAATACAAACATTTCTGACAGAAGAGACAGCAATTTTTTCAAGATTCAGCCTCATGTTAACATGCTTTGCAATACAAAATGGACAGCACAGACAGGTCTGAGATTACCTTTAAAAAAAAAGAAATATTGCCCAAATATCAATACCAAAGTCTTTTCAACACAGGGAGAGAAGAAAAAAAAATCAATGAAAACCAATTTGTATCTACTGCAAATACAGAATACTGAGGCAGAAAGGTGTCACTCAGTTCTACACGTTGACCTGGGTGATGCATAATAAACACTGTAAAGGTGAGACCCTTGGGGAAAACAGAACCACACATGAGGAAAGAAGTTCCCTTCAGCAGATACTCAGAACACCAACACACAGGCACTACAACACCTCATTCAGGAGCAGAAAAAGGAAGCTGAGTCTCATCAGTCAAAGGCCACCACGGGGTTGTGTTAGGAGCAGCCAGCAGAGAGTCTGTGACCAGAAGCTACTGATGCTCAGAGACAGTAATTGCTGACAGATGTTCAACAGAGGAACAAATCTCTCTGCTGAGGACTTGGGTTCTTCAAAGCCCATCTCCTCCACCTCAATTTATTTTGCTAATTGAATTAGCCTGTGGTTAATTTGATACTCTGTTTTCATTTCAGTCTCAGAAAAGGAATGATGCAATAGCCTGTATTCCAACATCCAAATAAACAACCCACCTCGTGATGAGGATGCAGGGTTTCCCACCAGGGTTTCCAAGTGCCCTCTACCCCAGTGCATTCTGTGGGGCATCCCTGCTGCCACGGAACTGCTGTTTGGATAGTGACAGAACTGAGCACAATGTGGAACGATTTGCTTGCAATTGTTACTGCAGCCAGCAACACACAGTTTCTCATTGCCTGTTATCAAATCACTGAGGTGCAGAACTGGGACAAGGAATCACAGAATATCCTGAGCTGGAAGAGACCCACAGAGATCATCACAGCCCAACCTCTGGCCCTGCTCAGGACACCCAACAATCCCACCCTGAGAGTTGTCCCAGGTCTCCTGGAGCTCTGGCAGCCCTGGGGCTGTGCCCGTTCCCTGGGGAGCCTGGGCAGTGCCCCACAGTCTCCTGATCTCTGCAGGAACAATCTTTTCCAACCCAAACCTCCCCTGAACACGTGGCTCAGGAATAAAAAACATACCCAAAACAACAGAAGAGCAAAATTTGCTCAGTAGAAATCATGGAAAGTTAACATGAAGAGAAGCAGTTCTATATGTGTAATAGATATATAGACCATAACATATTAACATTTTAAAATGCACTTAAAGCTTTTCTGAGGATGGACAGCAGCATTTGAGAAAAACAGCAATGTGCATCAAGTACACAGCAGAGCACATTGCACAGCATCAGCTACAGGACTTTTTTGACTTATCACAAGCTGTTTGTGCCACCTGAAACTTGCCGAGTGCAAGAAGCTTTGCAGATAAAATCCAGCCACTTTCTAACAGGATTCTTAGATATAAATCAAACCAGAAGCTGAGAGTTTAAAATAGAGTTGAAATATTAGTAGGTTGCAGCTCACAAACACATAGCTCTTTCTCCCAAGGACACAAACACAAAATCAGTCAACTGGCACAGATCACCATTACAGTTTCTAACCCAAAAAATCTTTGTAAAACACTATTAAATTTAGAAGCTGTCTGTAAATGGAGCAGCTACACAAGCCCTGCCCTGCAGACTGCTGTCACTGCCCTGGGGCTGGTCAGTGCTGGGGACGACTTGAGAAGCTCAGCAATTCAACAACTTAATTAGTGGTGTTGGCAGGCTCCAGGATTCTAATGAATTTTTAACTTTCTACTAATCAGTTTCAAGGGACTATTCCTACTTTCCCTCATCACGTCCCTAATGGCACTTTTCACTCAAATTGTCTTTATTTTACTTAATAAGGTTGTTTTCCTCCCCAGAAAACACTTACTAAGAAGTTATTTGCAGGAATCAAATTGATTATTGATGTAAGCACAATTCTGCAAACTGACCTTTGACACATCATTCAATGCATTTCTTTGTCATATACTGGCACAGAGCTCTGCAGAAATGATTTTATTTGCAAGTTTGGTGCCAGTGATGGTCTTCCTGCCTGACCTTTGGGCCTGATCTTTTTGTGTGCGTTTTACTTTCTGCAGCTTTTAAGAGAAATGTTGCTCAATATAAAGATATCTTTCTTAATTCCAAAGCAGGGGGCTTTGGCTCCCTCTCAGGTTGGCCAAGCTCTGAAGGCAGCATTATGAACTGTTTGTGTCAGTATGACAACACCCAAAGCACAGAAGTGTAGCCCACTACCTCAGAGGCTTTTCAAGCTTCCTAATAGCCCTTGTATAACAAAAAGTGTTTCTGCAATGTCACATGATTTATGCATCCTCATTCTTTGATTTTGGCTCCATTTTGATTAAAGAAAAAAGCAAATACAGGTAAGAACATGCTTCCTGTAATTAACACCAGTAACAGTCTTCAATTTCTTCCACAGATAACATTTTTCCCTCAGTTTCTCAACTTATTTTGAAAATCAGACACCTGTGATTCTGTTCAGGCTTTACACAATCCCAGACATGTAAATGCAGCTGAAAATCTCCTTCCATTAATTTGCTTCCTTTGTAAGAAAAGACTGAAAGGCTATTTTCCCCCAATAAAACAGTTGCAGTAATTGCAGAGGCAAGGTTTTAGTAGACAAGAGGGGAAGAAAAACATCACTCACAGCTGTAACTGAATAAACCAAGGTTAGGATGGATGGAAGCAGGGAAGGAGAGAGGATCACTGGACATCCAAAAGAGACATATTTTTGTACCTAAAAATATTTTTTTCTTCCAATTCCCAATACAGAATGTTAAACACAAAACTTACCCTCTTTGAGGACATCTGGTTATCTCACCATTAAATGCATCAATACTGCCCTGCAGTTTGGAACTCACCTTTGCTATTTTACACCACAAAGATCTGATATCAAAGAGTAATCAAAATTTGAAACAAGTGAATTTAAAACATCTACTAAGTATCCTCACAAACTTTTTTCTCTTAACAACTGGTTGTTTCTTTGGGGTTTTTTTGTGGGTTTCTTTTTGTTTGTTTGGTTTTTTTAATTAGGAAGGCATGAGTCAGAATAAGCAAATGAGGAAAAAAGCTCTTAAAATCAGCATTCTGGAAGCTTATAATTTTAAGTTAAACCCTTAATATCCTATTTCTAATGCTCAATAGGCTTTAAATTTGTCACCAAAAATAGGTATTATTTGCCTAAGATCCCAGAATAACTTGACATAATAATCTGAACAGCTGGATCAGCTTTTTGCTCAGTGCTTTTCTGCATGACTACAAGGTGAAAAGGTGTTTCTCATCACAGATCAATGTTTAGCCCACAGCTCAATCCCAAGCTTGCAGTGGTAGTGTCATTTCCTGGGCTTGCCACTGGTTCCCAGCCTCAGAGCACCTCCCTGGTGTGACTGAGAACAAACCACATGAAAGCAATGACAGGAACAAAAAAAGCCAGTCAAAGATACCATCCTTCTGAGGGTGTATTTATGTGAGCTCCTGTCTCCAGGTTATCACATGGACTCACAAAGTGTGTCAGAGGCTGTGGGGGGACTGGAAAAGGAAAAGGGAAGAGCAGCAGCAGCTGTGGGAGCTGGAACATGAACCCAGGCCCCATCCCACCCCAGAGTCACTGATACCTTGGATAGCCTGGCAGCCCTGCACAGCCCTGGAATGGGTCTGACAGAACACTGTGCACTTCTAACTTCCACCAGAGATCCTCTCCTGGCTATGGCTTTTGGAAGCTATCCTAAAAAAGAACAAGTACCTTATTCCTGCATTTCCTATATTTATTTATAATTCATCAGTCTTGAAATAAAGTTATGCACATCTTTATCGTATGATCAGACTTTAAAAAATGCTGATTTCGGACTATTTTAGACAAAGGGAGACAACAGCTATATGAATTACAGGAAGAGTCATTTTTTCTATGTGTTCACAAAACACACCTGCAGCTGTCTTAACTGATAGCAAAGTCCACCAAAGCACAACCTGGGGAGGTATTTTTGCTCAAATCTTACCCAAACTCGTATCTGCAAGCCCACACAACACACTGAATCAGGATGTTACAGACAAGAATCATTTTCACCTATGAGAATTATCTACTGCAACCTGTACTTTCATCTGCCCTTCTGGAAAAGAAAAGGAAAGACAAGCCACTGGAATATATTAAATATGTTGCACTCTATTATCCCTAAGTACTTTTATCTAATTTGGGATTTAAACCAGCACAAGAATGATCAGAGCTGCTCTGTGGAGACTCACTTTAAGTCATCCCAGATTAACAGCTAAATCACAAGTTAAACACTATTGTACCATGCTAAAAGCCAGGTTGGTTTATCCTATGATGGAATTTTTAAATTCCAAAAAATCCTCCTACCACAGGATTTTATTTTTTGCCACTGAAGGTAGTAACACTAAGACAAGAAGTGCTGTGTTCATTTGAAAAATAGGTCATGTCAAAAACTGCTTTGAAATGATTATTTAAACAAAGCTTACAAACAGTGATGAAATTCTTCTGCTGAAAATGTCTTCTGATGTCTGCACCAAGCTTGACCAACCAAGCAGGAGCACATAGGAGGGGAAAGAAATTTGTGCAGAGAACCAGGAAGAGCAAGGATGAGACTTAACAGATATTCCAAGGATTGAAGATCAAGAACAGGAATACACACTAATTTCAGAAAATAGCCTAACAATGACTTCATTAGTTAGTTCTAAAATATCTAAGCCAAACATGTTTTTAGGAAAGCATATGCAGTTTGTCACTTAACCTGAGTGAAGCCAAAGAACCAATCTAAGTAGCAACATGTGTCCATACAAGAGACCCGATTTTTCACTGTCTCTACTGACTGCATACACACTTACCAAAGTATTTTTGCTACTACACACAGGAGGTGTTTACAAACACACAATAGTAACCACATAAAAAAGATTATTTAACACAGTGCCTGCAGTCATCTCACTTCAGACCATATCCTCTCAAAGCCAGAGAAAGAAATGTCTTTGTGATACATCCTAAAACATCTCCACATGCACACACTGTTACCTAGTACAGACAAAGCTATTCACATCAGAAATTGTCTGTATTAAGTTCCCCCATGAATGTATTTTAAGGGTTCCCATATCTTCAAAGCCATGGATGAGGACTGTGGCTACTTCAAAAACAGTAAAAAAGAAAAATGGAAAACAGAAATGCAAGATGAAATCATTCTGGATCCTATGTTTTATGAAACAACATTTCAAAATTCTATAAAATCCCCAGGTTCTCAGAAGGCCAAGGCTCTGAGTAAGCTGATCCAAAGCTGAAGTCAGCCCTGCTTGCAGCAGGGTGGATTAGATGACCTTCAGGGGTCCCTTTCAATCCACGTTAGTTTAAGGTTTCATAAAATAAACTGCAGAGTGGGGCTGTGTGTGTACACACACACAAAAAACCACTTGCTCTCTTTCATTTGTAGATACCCTGGGCAATCTCTGGCTACAGCTCCACTGAACACTGCACACAGAGCATGGTTACACACAGCACTCAGTGGAGCAGACTGATTTTGGCATCTTAAATACAAGGTAACTTTGCATTTATGGACAAGAACTACAGAAAGAAGTACTGCTCTATGACCTAAGTGAGGTGCTGAACATGTAACTTCTCACACTTATCAGCTCTACCTGATCTCAGAACCATCCAGCTTATCTGTTGAATCCTCAGAACTTGAAACCACAATCCTCACTGCCAGGGCTCTGAGTGCTGTAGTGGTGAGGAATCTCTGGAATTATAAATGAAATTAATCTCTTCTGCTGAGACAGGGGAAAAGAGAGGAAGCAGGCTTGTGCTGGCACAGGACACTCAAACCACAAAGAGTGCTCAGGTTCACCATTCCTCTCTGACCCACATTTCATTTACACATCTCAAACTGAAACTCCACTTCTGCAACCTCTGGAATTCCTCCTTTGATGCATTCTCCTTCCTGCTATCCACTGATCAGTATTTTCAGCAGTGACTCAGGAGAACATGCTTAACACAACACACATCTGAAACTTGTTTGGGGTGTCTTGATTTAGAAGCCCAAAACAGGGCACAGGACATGAAAGCCTCTTGCAAGAGTAGTAACAAGCATCATCATCACACTGATGATAGTATTTCATACTATTAAATCAGACAAATGATCATGGCTTATAAAAGTCATATTTCATATTTCAATTTTACCACAAGATAAAACCCACCATGATCTACTAAGCCTGAAGAATTCAGAATAAAACCAGGTTCCTGTCTCCCTGTTATGTTCCTAAATAATGTGCCTCAATGCAGCATTCCTCTTGGCTGACTGATCAAGCTTTACAGACTTACAAGCATTCAGAGTAAGAAGAGAGCCAGAGAATTTAACAGCAATTTGAACTGGTAAGAAAACAGGGCACTGAACAGTTTATTTAAGTACCCTATTCCAGCATCTCACCTCAGTTCTACTCCCCTCTCCAGCAGGTCTGTAGTGATCTGCAAAACTCCTTATTTCACCAAGAAATCTGCAAGATCTATTTGAAACAATTTTTCCTCTGGTTTTGTAGGAGTTTTTTACCACAGAAGTAAATCACAATATAGGCCAGACTACCTTTCCCCAGCAAGACACAGAGTTTTCAGGTGAGCTAAGAGCACAACTGTAGTTACTGTGATTTTAGAAAATAGCTTCTTCTAAAGGCTAAGTAATGGAAGATTCAGTTAGTACTATGAAAAACAGTGCATTGTAACTTCAATTCTTTAACTAATGGTTTGAAATTTAAGTTCAACACAGAACAGCCCTTATTTAGATGAAGTTTCCCAGTTTATGCATATAAATACTCACATTTCAAGAGATTTGATAAATCCACAGTTCTAAGGAAACCAACTGGCACAGTAAGTCCACTTTACCAACAGAAAACAAAACTAAAATTTGGTGGTTTTATAGCTACTTCCACCATAAATCTCTACAGAAAATTCTCACATTTAACATTATAGTTTATGCCCTAAGTATTCAGTATTGCCAACAGCAACAACTTATGATTCTGCTTAAAGTAATTCTCCTAAAGTCCATTTTTAATGTATTATTGGAATAAGACAGTAAGTAATTCTTATGGCTTTAGTTCTGACATCTGAACATAGTCAAATTCCACAATTTTTATAGACCCACAGCAGCAGAAAGCCTTACTTGGCCATTTTGACTACAGCAGAGCCACTGTTCAACATATCCATCAGAAGAAAGAATCTTGTTTCAGAATCATTTCCATTCACCATTCTGCTAACTTTACTGGAAAATAGCAATGATAACATTCTGCTCTACAGAAGTCAGATATTCAAAAGTGTATGCTCATATAGCAACCCAAATATATCATCTGTCACACTGTAACATTACAAAAGGAAACGTTCAGCAGTCTACTTTCTCTTGATTTTCCTTCAGCATGAAGTGCCAGTGTCATGGGAGGTTTGGGGGAAGCCTCAGTAAGAGATGAATTGTGTTATATTCCAGTACTATGAACAAGAATAATCCTTCTACCAGTAATTTACACAGTGAGTGCAACTCAACAAATCAGGTACTGGCAATGTTATTCTACTTGCATAACAGTAAGTCATTAAATAATAGAAATATTTGCAGTGTGCATTTAAAAAGGCAAAAGATGAGGCTGAACTGGCTGAGAATATGCAGTTGTGGATACTTCTGATCTTGAAGACTTTGGAGGAAAATGTAATGGAAGGCTGAGTCCTCTTCCCTTCTCACTATAATGACACCAACAATCAAAAATCTGAGAGCACTGGAAGACACTTCACTGAGCATAGGTGTCACCAGTCACACTTCTCCCATGAGCCAGAGTTATTTACATGAGCCATTGTTTGGTCAAAGAAAAATCTGAAAGGTACAGAGCAAATAGAACACAAATACAGAGGAAGTGGCATTTTCATTTTGAGAAAGCCTCAAAAAACTGCCTTCTCAACTTTTTTTTTTTTTTTAATCAATCTGTACAACATTTAGAGTAAAATCTATTGTTCATAAAGCAACATTGAATTCAGATATTTCAAAAGCATCAAGATAATATTTAAGAGCAACAGCAGTTTCTTACAGCCAGTGAAGTAGCTCATTTAAAAAACTGCATGTAGAGTATAATGATCTAATTAGGGGAATTTCTCCCCACAGAGAGGCTGTTCTAGTGTAAGCTGGTGGGGAAGCCCAGCTGGCTTGACTACTGTAAGATCAAAACCTGAAAGCTTCTGCAAGTGTGTGGCTAAAGAAAAAAAAGTTAAAATCAGAACACTGGAAGTCTCTGTGCTTCTGACAACCATACACTGAACAGCCTGAATGCTGTACCAACCTCAGCTTCTCAGTTCAAAACCTCTGCAGGATTGCTCCCACTCGGTAACTACGAAACGTTCAGAACCGCCAACACCGTTCTGTAGAACTTCAGTTCCTGAAAGTACTCCACTTATTTCATCTGTTACAGAAGAAAATAATTAAGATGCATCACGTATCAGCTCATGTATCAGCTTTTGTACTCTCAAAAGCAAAGCAAGACATCAAATGATTCAACCACAGAAGATTTTAGATAAGCACCCGAGTAGCTGATCTCAATTACTCATTTTTTCGAAGGCACCAAGGCAATCTGCAGTCCAGCATTTTTACCCATCATTTTCCAGGGCATCAATCAACTGCACAAATGCCTTCCAATACATGGGATATGTTACATTTGTTCCCCAAAGAGAAGCATTCCTAGAAACACATTCAGATGCAAGCACACTTAATGCTGCAACTGACACTAGAATATTGTTTCTATCTTAACCCTTCTGAGTTTTAAACAAAATGTAAGGAACTCAGTCATTAAGAAAACCTACAAGAAGTTATTAAATTCTGACTAAGTTTAGCAATACCACGAGCACTTTGGCTTGTGCTCTTTTGCTGCCCCTCAGAGAACTCTGTACAGACTCTTCCACGGAAATAATCCACTCCACAACTTAAACATTGACATAACACAATAAAACTTTAGGTAATTAAGTTTAATGTGCAGTTCAACACAACATGGAATTTCACACAACTTACAGCAATTCTTTACAGTTCACAAGAACCTCATAGCAAAATCAAAATGGAGTAAAAATTGCCCCGTATTGTTATGCAAGAGCTTGATTTTCTTCTCGCTGCTCACCCTAAAAAGCAACACAGTAACAACAGTTACAATATGACATTCAAATACTTCAACATGAAATAAGTTTATATTGTTTCACTAGATCTAGGGAAGTGCACTCCCTTAATACAACCTTCTCACTTGGAAATAAGAGGAAATAAGTGCATTTGTGCTTTTCTATGTGCAATACACATAAAGAGACCAACATCTTATGTTTTATGGTATATAAACAGAGGTTTCACTACAGTGAAACACAGACCAACTTTCAGCATTACAATAAATTATTTGTCTGAGACTAACCACTCAATTGTCTGTAAGGAAAAGCTGTGTTACAGTCCCTTTGAAGTCACATTAGTGAAACAACCACAGACTGTGGTTTGACGGGGTGGGGGTGTTTTTTTTTTGTTTTTTTCTTTCTTTTTTTTGCCTTTCTTTAATTAAAAACAAACTATGAACACTAAAGATCAAAAGCAGTACATACAGAATCTTTTAGGCCAATTAAAAATTGCAACTAGTCAAAACAAAGCACTGAAAATTGATTTGTTGGAGAACAGGAAGCTGTCCTACCAAGCAGGTTATATTTATCAGGCTTTTTTTTTTCCTTTCCTTTTTTCTTTTAAATTTAACTTGTACTTTCCTGCTTGCTAAGAAACTCCCCAGCTGTTCACCTTTGTGGTGGTAAGTCTTTAGCATTAACGGCTTGCTGGAGCTTCCCTGGAGATTGTTGATTTGCATTCCAAGGGAACTGCACTTTACAGCTGCCCTGTCTGGTCAGTAATCACACGGCTCTTCAGAGAACACATTACTCAAGATGAAGAGAAGTTCTGCAACACAGAGTCTTGCAAAGTCCCACAGCTATGAGGAGAGCTGTGCAGCAAAAATCATTACAAAAGGTGGTGCCAGGGCCAAATGAGGAGAGACAGGGACAGGCTGAAGCCTCCCACAAAGCTGGGGCTTCCCAAATCACCATTTGTTACTGACTGACACCAACTCACCCTACTGCACGCTTCAGCCATCCTCTCTGAACTGCTGTGACACTTCTGAGTATCTATTTTGTATTTGTATTCTGTTTTGTTTTTACTGAATTGAGGAAAAAAAAATATACAGTCCATAATGAAATCCCAAGAAAATCAGTTCATAGAATCACAGAATGGTTTGTGTTGGAAGGGACCTTAAAGATCATCTTGTTCCAAGCCCCTAGCATGGGCAGCTCTATAATGAGAATTTGTCTTAACACAGTAAAGAAATTTTTTAATCCATAACATTTAACTACTACAACAGTAAAAGAATCTCAAATTCCACAAAGCTTCCTCAAAAAATCCTGTTCAAGTACTTTGACTCATTACTTTTCAGTGTTAGAGCAAATAACACATATTTAAAAAAAATATTGTTATCTGCTTTGACAGGGTTGTAATTGTTACGTGTACACCAGAAAATGAATTTTAAATTAGCTTGGTTAAATTCCAAATGTTAGAGGCTAATAACAGAAGAAGGACTGGAGAAGGACTGACTGTCTTCAGAAACCTTAGTGGATGTGGGTTGGTAACCCTTCCATTTGGCTTTGCCCTGCTAATGCCCCTTTCAATCAGAATTTCTGTACATTCTTTCTTTCCTGTTATACCAGCCTGCCAACTCCTCATAATAGCCACAACTCAAAAAGCCATTCCATTTCACCTGGCAAAAATCTACTTGACTCCCCCACTGCTTCTCCATCAACTTAATTCTCTACAACTGCTGACAGCCAATGTCATCAGGCTCCAAAACCAAGCCAGAAACCAAACATTAAGCCACCAAGGAAGCTGAATTTAAGTGTTCTTCCTCCACTGCCTTTGATGTGTGCAGTCCCTTAATAGCTAGTGTTTAGCCAACCTAAAATTAGATTCAAGAGTAAAAAGCCTAGAATACAACAGCTGCTTTATGATTATTGATTCTGAATGTGCCAATAAAGCACCTGCAACAAGACCTTGCTCCTTTGACCCTCACAAGCACAGAATGAAAAGACATATTTGGTAGAGCCCAAAACAACAAGAGGAGAACATGACAGCCAAGTGCCTGGAAAGCAGGAAATACCCTGCATCACCTTCAATAGGAAGTGCAGTAGCACACCTCTGAAAACAAGAAAGAAGTATACATTAACATAAGCACTGTTCCTTTCTGAAGAAAACTCACCATTTTCTATTTGCCCGGATTTCTAAAAACACTGAGTTAGCAATTGAGTTTGGTCTTACTTTTAACCTGAAGTTCAGCTACCAGCAGGACTTTGGGCAGCTGACTTGACCCTGTATGGAGAGCCCACAGGCAGTAAGAACCTCAGCGACATCAGCACTCTACCTCACTGCTCTCCTGTGAGCCCAAGACAAACCCGGCAGTGTCACCACTGATGTGGGGTTCGGACACTGAAACACAAACCATTTTCCTCATGGTGAGGTTATGCAACTGCTCCTGGTAGGAAATATTCCCTGGAGTAACACAGCATGTCTGTCTCATTAAACTCCTCTTATTTTTGACTCTCCTCATCCTTAGATAGCTGTTGCTACTTAGCCTTTTACAATTACCACTGTGTACACGCCTGATCATTTGCTCAGCATTTTATGTACTTGGTGGGATTTAGAACCTTCACACAGATATCATGAGACTCTTCCAAAGCCTCACTGCCTTACCTTTTAGGGCAACAAAGTTGTTTTCATACCAAACAATTTTCCACACTATTTATTGTATCTCAGAAGGCTGAAGTAAGCAATCAATTAAACACAAACCCTCTGTCTCACCTGTATCAAATCAGTCCCAGGGATTCAGTTACTGCTGCACTTCAAAATAAAATTACAGTGCCTGAGAAAAATGCTATTTTGAACAATGTACCTGAATTTTTCAGCTTCATCAGCACTGGTATTTATTTACTCCCGACCTAGCTTCCAAGGATTCTTCTCTGTCATAGAATTGCTTTCTGAACCCCAGCTTGTTCACCTGCTAAAATCAAAAGTAAGAACAATCAGGAAAGTCACAAGGAAAACCACAGTGGCTGATGAGAATCAGACAAACATGGTACTTGACATACCTCACCATACTGGTGAGGGGTTTGGACACATCATGCAAAGCCAATGCAATGTCCTGTGGCCTCTGTGTCTCCCTGTACACATTAACAGATACATTTGTTTAAAGGTCAGAAAAACTAAGACATGGATGAATTATTCAGTAAGACTATTGTGGATAATCAAAACCTAAAGAAAAAGTAGTGGACAAGCACACCTCTTGGAGGCTCCTCTGATCTCAGGTGGGAAAGCCCCAGTTACTGAGGACACTGCAGTAACAGACAGCAGCAGTCCATGGTGGGGTGGCCTTGCTCAGCACAGCGTTATTTCTAGATAGTTTAACACATCCCTTGGTGTGCAACACTTGGTCAACAGTGAAACATCTTTCTTTTGAGGAAGGTTAAAGCACAGGGAGTTGCACTTGCCTGGAGACTGCACTACTGTAAAAGCCTGACTGCTGATGGGGACACATGTAAAGTACTGGGTATTGTTCACTCATGAACCTGTACACAATCAAGGAAGGCAGTCACTGGGTTTGCTGCTTGTACTCAGCAACTTTTCCAATATCTCTTTCAGATTCTTGCCCCAGAAGAACTGGACCATCAATTATGTACCAAGATGCTTCTAGATAATGAAGCAGAGCATGAATGATGTGAGTTTCAAATAAACAAAATTAAGTGTGATAATGAAACCAATTCAAAATACTTTCAAATGAGAACCATGCAAAAAACCACAGTATCACTAACGTGTCATCTGTCCTTGTCAATGTGCAGTGCCCCAGCATCTCTTGCTCCTCTTTCACAGTTACAATTCTCACCTCTCCAAATTCAGAACAAGCAGATTCTTTAGGCAGCTGGTCATCATCATACCTGCAAATACAACCCAGGCTGTTAGCCGAAACACTTCTCTGCAAAAAAGTTCTGCCTCTGTTTCATCTGCAGTAGTGTCATGTGCTCAACTATACAATTCAGAAAACAAAGACAGAAAATCATCCACAAAAGATATGCAAAATCTTCAATTTAACTGAAATCAGCTGCATATTTTCCTTTTTATATATAACTTTTATCTCATTATTTTTAAACGTCAGCTACAGTCCTTCAAGTGGTACCAAGAAAAATATTTTATCCACCCTTCCCAAGTAAGGAGAGGACAGCACTAACATTCCATCTGCTGATATTAAAGGAGTGCTGGCTGACAATGCTTTCTTCCTTCCCAGTGATCCTTCTCACACCCTCAGAGAGGGGACAGAGCAGAGCTTTTGACAGCAGGTTGTAGCTGTCATACCTAGAAAGACACAACTGGTATCAACACTCAGAATTATTTACTTGCTGTTAGCAAACAGAGGAATATCGTGACAATCTACTCACATATCCAGTAAAAACCCTGCGACTTCTTCACCGTTTCTGAAATCCAACTTTTCCTTAAGAGTCAGCTACTAGTCAATGTGATTTCCTACATAAATCCTTGTTTTCCCCCTTCTTCTATCAATATTTTTATTTCTCTTTTTCTTTTCCAGAAAAGACAACACTGGGGGCCTTCCAAACCTCTTTGCTGGCAGGGACATGCTGAGCCTGAAAATAAAGGAGAGGCTTTATTGAAAGGCAGCTCAGAACAACAGGTCAGCGTCCCGAGCCAGCACAGCGAGGACTGATGGCCGAGCACCTTTGGCTCCTCACAAGTCAAGCAGCCGCTGCAGCCCCGCACCGACGGCTCCCGACCCGCGCCCGCCCGCTCGGCTCTTCCTCCCTCGCTGTCTCTCCGCGGCAACAATCGCTCAGAACGTGGCCGCTGCCAGGCGGAACACGGCGAAGGACTGCGGGACAGCCCCTCACACCTCCCCTGAGGAGAGGAGCCATTCCCGCCTCACGCCGCCCCTGAGGAGAGGAGCCATTCCCGCCTCAGACCGCCCCTGAGGAGAGGAGCCATTCCCGCCTCACACCGCCCCTGAGAGGAGGGCCATTCCCACCTCACGCCGCTGCGGACGTGGGGGACCATTCCGGCCTCACACCGCTCCTAGGATAGACACAGACATTCCCGCCTCATGCCACACCTGAGGGGAGGAGACATTCCCGCCTCATGCCACACCTGAGGGGAGGAGCCATTCCCGCCTCATACCGGCCCTGAGGGGAGGAGCCATTACCCCCTCATACCGGCCCTGAGGGGAGGGGCCATGGCTGCCTCATACCGGCCCTGAGGGGAGGAGACATTCCCGCCTCACACCGCTGCTGGGACACGCACAGACACCGACACAGACATTCCCGCTTCATGCCGTCCCTGAGGGGACGCCAGCTCCTCTCGCTGCTCCGCAGGGCGGGCTCGCGCACCTCACACCGCCCGAGAGGGGACAAGCCCTCACAGCGCCCCTGCGGGGTACGCCCTTTCCCCCCCACGCCGATCTCCCGCTGCCCCCGGCGGGGTGGTCGGTCTGTCGGTCGGGGTCGGTCTGTCGGTCCCTCACCCGCCGCAGCGCCCGCGGTAAACAAGGGACACGTGACCGGCGGCGCGCGCTGATGGCGTGAGGGGCCCGCCCCGGTTTTAAGGAAAAAATTAAAAAAAAAAAAAAAAAGATTTTAAGTGTCAAACCAGGGCAATGAAACCTGTCGTGAGGGAGCAGCCAGTGGCGCTCAGGTAAAAGCTGTTCTCAGCCCTTCGCTGAAGCCCAGAGGAAGAAATAACTCAGCATGATTTGTTAAATATTTGTTTAATAACAACTTAATTACGTATGCACGATAAAAAAA